GTCTTTTTTATTCCGTTCCGCTCGTTTACCTAAAAATGGGGAGCATAAGAGAGTAAATTTGTAAAATATGTAATTTCATACGCACGGTTTACGCGGTTAGCATGAGAAACTGATTATGAAAAATTTCATTTTTGTCAGGAAAGTATGTAGACTGAAGAGAACTGTTGCAACATTTCTGCCTAAGCTATTAGGCTTTTATGCGATTGCTATTTTTTCACTAAAATCAAATTTTCTGGTGCAAAATGCAAATTGTAATAATTAATAATACTTTGTCGATAACCGGCTACAATAGTTAAAAAATCTAAAGGCCAAGGAATCTAAAAAACCGAAATGGGCTACCACCAAAAAACAGGCAAAGCCCACCGCCGCGGCAACAAGAAAACTTAAACAAATTTTAAAAAAATTAACAAACGGCTCTTCTCAGAGCCATCAATGAAACGATGATATCGAGCCTCTCTTTCTTCAAAGCTGTCTTGTTTTTTATTATTACTCCGTTGTCTTTTTTTATTCACGTTCCGCTCGTTTACCCAAAAATGGGGAGCATAAGAGAATAAATTTGTAAAATATGTAATTTCATACGCACGGTTTACGCGGTTAGCATGAGAAACTGATTATGAAAAATTTCATTTTTGTCAGGAAAGTACGTAGATTGAAGAGAACTGTTGCAACATTTCTGCCTAAGCAATTTCATTTGTAAATTGATAAATACCATCCACATGTTTAATTATAAATACAGCTAATTGATTGTTTTTACTCCGTTGTATTTTTCGTTCCCGTCGTTTACGCAAAACCTGAACGTCTGACCTTTAATTGAATAAATTTGTAAAATATGTAATTTCATACATACGGTTTATTACACGATTAGCACGATTTCACTTTTGTCAGGAATGTATGTAGGTTAAATTATTCGTAAAGCAACATTTAATTTGGAAATTGATAATTAATTACCATCCAAAAGTTTAATTATAAAAACAGCTAATCAAGGTGCTAAATTAGAGAAATGAAATGACGTTAAAAATTTCCAGTAATTGCAAATTAATTAAAATAGTTTAGAAACTCACAATATCACGTTAGCATTGTTTGCAGCACGTTTACACGATTGGACTAAAACCACGTGACCGAAGCGCTTTCTATTAGGTCGGCTCACCTCGTGTCTATATAAAATGTTGCCTACAGCGTGCTTCCAGTATTCTAACTAGATTATCGATTCCTACTCGTTGCTTTTAAGTTCAAACAAGTTGCAGACAGTATGGCAAGAACCAAGCAGACGGCTCGCAAGTCAACCGGTGGCAAGGCACCTCGCAAGCAGCTGGCCACGAAGGCTGCCAGAAAAAGCGCTCCGGCTACCGGAGGTGTCAAAAAACCTCATCGTTACAGGCCTGGTACAGTAGCTCTCAGAGAAATCAGGCGCTACCAGAAAAGCACCGAGCTGCTCATCAGAAAACTGCCCTTTCAAAGACTCGTTCGTGAGATAGCTCAGGATTTCAAGACCGACCTTCGCTTCCAGAGCTCGTCAGTCATGGCTCTGCAGGAAGCAAGCGAAGCTTACCTGGTCGGCCTCTTCGAAGACACCAACCTCTGCGCCATTCACGCCAAACGCGT